TGGTCAATTCCTTGCGGCTACGCAGCCAAGGTTTGCTGTGGTGTGGTCGAGTTATCCCGAAGTGCTTGTCCGTATGGCTGTTCAGACAAGTCTCTTCTAAGCAACGCCAACCTTTACATCCAGTGGAGCTGTGCTTTGCACGACGAGTGCCAAAGGGAGGCAACACGGAGTCTGCATGTCTTTGCACTCCCTGCATCCGTAAGGATGTTTGGACCCGGCGTGGTCTGCTTTAGTTGACACGTGCTTTCACTCACCCTTGAAGGTTACTGTGCTCTGAGCACGCTGTCCCACCCACCCCAACGTGTCAGTCAGCTCTCGGCAGCTACAGAGAGCAAACCTCAGGAAAAAACAAAGAAGAGGAAAATTTTGCTTGCCCTAAGAAGTCTGGCTCCTGTGTTTTCTGGTTCCTAGTCTCTCACACCTGTACACACGAACGAGGGTCCCAAACAGGTCAGCCTGTGAGAAGAAAACCAACCAGCTGTCAGAATCCCTCAGGACTGTAAAAGCCATCAGGTGGATTCATGTGTTTTCTGTAAGAAAGCCAGCAAACACTTGAATGAGAAAAGGGAGGGGACAGCTGAGAGGTGCATCAGCCTACTCGTGAGATACATCAGGTTTGGCACAGAAAGGCTGAAGGCCTGTCAGGGTTGGGACACAAGCAGCAAAGCAGACTACTCTAACAATGCCTCTGTTTTCTCCGTCTCTGGAAACATCCCATATTTTCCTTTTTTTTTTCAGAGATGATGGGCTCCTGCTGTTGCGTCTCTAGACACAAGCAGCAAAGCAGACTACTCCAACAATGCCCCTGTTTTCTCCATCTCTGGAAACATCCCGTATTTTCCTTTTTTTTCAGAGACGAGGGGCTCCTGCTGTTGTGTCTCTGGCTGTTCAGACCAGTGTTGTTGGGGTAAAGGGGAAATGGCGTGAAAGGATGGTTTGCTGTGCATGCAGGGGCACTTTGTTTGTTTGATGTATCTCAAAAACTGCTTTAGAGATTCCACATTAAATACTTCTTAAAATCTATCAAACGCGGCGAACACACCTCTGGTCCAAGATAAAAAGACACTTGTTTTCCCGGCCATACACAAGCAAAGAGGAGTGTAAAAGAAACTGTATTTCAATCATCACTTTTACATTTATTTTGTCAGTAGGGGATGGAAAAAACAGATCCCATACAATCCTGGTGACAAAACGGGGAAGGTAATCTCCTCAGAGCAGCTGCAGCTCTGCTAGAACCAGGTTCGTCTACCAGCAGGATGGTGCATACATGCAGGATAAGGTTCTGCCACTTTTTCTCATACAGGAATGGTGAGCACCGTGTGCCATCCTCTGGCTTTTTGGATTCATGCAGAAATGTGAGATGAAAATTAAGACCAATTCTAAGAACACCCCTCACCTCCGGATTCTTATTTGCATTGCACAGCAGCTGTGCTAAGTGACAGTCACCCCTCTGTGAAGGATGACACAACTATTTCCAAATCTGGTCCTGCCAGGGGCCAAGAAACTGATGCTCAGGTCACTCTGGGGAGAAAGAAAGAAAGAAAAGATGGAATAGCAAAGAACACTAGAGTGAAAACTTTTATTTCCGAGATGTCATTCACCTATTTGTCTATCCGGTATTTCTGAAGTGCCACAGTCTCACTGCAGTACCCAAGCACCATTCGCACAACAGGAATTTCCAGCATTCTGCAGAGCTCCCTCGGCTGGCAGGAGGATCTGGGCACCAGCTGGTAACTAGGGGTCTGGGGGGTGGAGTGTCCTAGGGACAAGTCTGCTGGAATGATAGTAGCCAATTACCTTTTATTTTTTCCAGTAGTCTCCCACTATGATGCTGAGGGAGGAGACGGCTGGTAGAGAAGCCACTGAGCTAGCTGCTGTGAAAGCAAACCTCCTGGTTCTTGGATCTTTGCACATGTCCATACCTCTGTCTTCTGAATTTGGCTCATGAATTTGTGCTGCCCACGAAGCGATTAAAACCCTGGAAGAAGAGGAACGTACCCTGTAACTTCTGCAACAGCAAAGGAAGGGTGGTGCCCAGATTCTCCTCTCCAGCCAGATGTTCACAACCAAAAAAGGGCAGACAGGCTAAGGGAGGTCAATTATTTCAGCCAAGTGACACTGAGCAGGGAAAGCTAACAGTGGTTGTGGAAAGGAACTCCAGAATGTGCTTACAGTGGTAAGCAATTCAATCCTAGCCGCTACGACTATTGCACTGGCAATGTGCTGTGAACCCTAAGGCCACTCTGATTTGGCATACAGTCTTAAGTAAGTTCTTAAAAGATCTTAGAAATAAATGCACATCAATCCTTTTTAATTTATAGAGCACTGTTCAGTATACACAGCACTTCACAGGACAGGTAGAAAGGAAAAGAAATTCTCCGAGGACTGCTGCGAAAGCATTTTCAGGGGCAACTGGCTTCTCGAACCTGAATCTCGATGTGAGAGGGTTTCCACTTGAATTGAGCTCAGAACTCAGCTATGTGCAGACCTGGGCTCGATTTCATTGATCTGCAACTCCATTCAGATTGCCAGAGGAAAAGCTGCGCTCACAAGATGCCTTTCCCTGGCAAACAGGGCTTCTCAGTCAAACAGACAGTTCTAGTGCTGTAGATTTCCTTTAGGAAACTTAAACCGAAATGGGATAGATACAGATTCATCAGCTGGACTGCAGCATAACCTTTGAATACAGCTAAAAATGAGCCTACCAACTGAGAGCTGTAGTAAAGTCTGCTAGCAAATTAAAGTCTTGACACTTCTGGAACCAACTAGATGACCATTAGTCGCATTTCCAAACCACTTCCCTGAAGTGGAACAGAAATCAAGAAGTCATTGGTTTGAAGCTGTTCATAAAGAAAAACAAAACCAAACCCCAAAACAAACCCCACAAAACTAAAAGCAAAAATGTGCATTTGCAAACGGAGGCTTTGGTTCCTGTGTAAACAAAGCCCACCCCATTTCTGAAAGCTCCTTCTACTTCCCTGAGCAGCTGCACATAAAGGTGCCTTGTTCCTCTAGGAGCTGCAAACAAATTCATGCTCCCCCCTACAGCTCCTCCTTATTAAACTACATGAAAATAACATTTCGTCGGCAGCAGAGTGTCACAAGTGGCCTGGGGCTTGCAGAAAGGATCCCTGCAATCCCCTGGAGAGTAGCAAGTTCTGTAGCCATTCACAAGCATCCCTGGCCAGCAGCTGCTCAAACCCATGGATCTTCTCAGCATCTATTTCCTTCACCTCTTCCCCACCACAGCTCCAGTCCTTTCACTAGCTCCAGTCTGCAGTCCTCTTTCCAGAGATTTACTGAAGCCACAGGACCAGTTGCAGGATTAGTAAGGTACATCACAAAACCAGAAATCTTTCCGACGCTCCCGCCGTGGTGGATAAGCACAACAGTCCGTATCAGCACTAAAATGATCAGCAGCAAAACAGTCAAAAATATAAACAATGTGAAGTGTTCAGCTGCAATTCCTTGTAGTTAAAACCATGAGGGGGGTACGTCCTGCAACTGGCACTGGTATGTACCTGTGTAAACAAGGGGGAGAGCACTATGCTGAGTGACATTTAGAAGTCAGTCCTAGGGGCCACGCGTTTTTATAGAGATATATAAATAAACCAACTTGATTCCAGAACTCATACACACACACACAAAGTAATCAGTCTAAAACTGAATGTCCTGATGTGAAAATTCAGATGTTTTGGTACAAAACCTATTTCTCCCAGCCTCTTACTAAGAAATGCTCGTATATACAGTATGTTTAGTGAAGTACTGACAGGGTGTAGTGTCACACAGCTGGCCATTTTGACCACTGCCATGGTGTGTGCACGCACAATCGCTCACTTAGTATAAAAGCTAGTTCATACATATGTGAATACCTACATCTAGACGTTATTTACACACACACCCTGGTCAAAACAGGACTTGAGAAATACTGGTGCGGAATCAGGTCAGTCCTAGTACACGGTTGTTCTGTTCTATTCTGCAACACAGCTTGTACCAGCCCACGTGAACCGTATCTGTGAATACGAATTCTGCAGAACGAGAAGGCTACCAGTACAAACTTACAGGCGACCTCCCTACAAGTTGTGTACCGCAGTCTTAGCAGCAGCAAGTATAATTCCGATTTTTTTTTAAAGCCTCCAGGTATGATCGTTTTCTGCATGTTATCCACCAGTTCTGAGATTCCAGAACAGGATTCCATGTCCCTATCCCCCAGCTCCCTCCTTCCTACCATCCAAGCAGCATTTGCAGAAAACCTCTGCAGGCACACCTCCCTTCTCTGGTTCAGGGTATGCCTACACGTTCCTTTTACAAGCAGACTCCAGTGGTCTTTGCCTACGCTTCAAGTTGGCCCGCACGCCGCATACGCGTAACGCAGAGCCTCCAGCTTCTCAGTAGGACTTATTATCTTTGACTTTCTTGACTGCTCTATGAGACACAGAGCTGGCTTAGACCATAAGCATGGTAAGTTTCTACAGACCTGTGCAGTATTATATAGGTCACAACATTTCAGCTGTGAGTGGAACAAAGCCCCTTAAGGACCCCATCTCCCATCTTAATCCCCTTGAGATGACCACACGTGCCTATGTTGCATGACCAAGCAGCTTCTCATCATGTGACCTGATGTTGTGCATTCCCTCCTCAGACTCCCGGGCAGACACCTCTCATGGGGAGGCGGGAGAAAACATAGGCACTTTGGCCACGTGGCAGATGGCACCCGATTCTAGCACTGGGGAAAGAGGATGACAGGGCCTTGGGATGCAGAACTACCCACTGCAACCACTGCGCTCTTTCTGTCCATGCCTGAGGTGCACTGGGAGGAGGAGGTGACTGAAAAGGGCAACGTGGGCCGAAGGCGTTACTCTGGTTAACTGCCTATAATCCAAGGGCCCTGGTGTCGTCACACCCTGGTCCACCCCCCTGCCCCTCAGGCACATTTTAGGCAGGCCTGGACCAGGAGCTGCATCCTAGATCATCCCCCAGACCACACCTAGTGACGCTGCCTACCACACATGCACCCGCTGGTGTGAGACTAAGTAGGAGTTGCGACTGAAGCTCTTCCCACAGTGAGAGCACTTGAAAGGTTTCTCCCCAGTGTGGGTACGACGATGACGGATGAGCGTAGAGTTGTCACTGAAGCAGGTTCCACACTCGGCACACTTGTAGGGCTTCTCTCCAGTGTGGGTGCGGCGGTGCTGGACAAGGTGCGAGCGCTGGCTGAAACTCTTCCCACAGTCAGGGCACAAGTATGGCTTCTCACCTGTGTGGACGCGCCGGTGGATGACCAGCTTAGAGCTCTCGCTGAAGCACTTGTTGCAGTCAGCGCACTTGTAGGGCTTCTCGCCTGTGTGGAGCCGCTGGTGGGCAATGAGGTTGGAGCTGTCGCTGAAGCGCTTCCCGCACTGGGGGCACTTGTAGGGCTTCTCGCCCGTGTGGAAGTTGGCATGGCGGAGCAGGCCCGAGTTCTGGTAGAAGTTCCTGCCACACTTGGCACAGACGTAAGGCCTCTCGCCGGTGTGGTTGCGCTGGTGCTGCAGCAGGTGGGTGCTCTGGCTGAAGCTCTTCCCGCAGTCCTTGCACTGGTAGGGCCGCTCGCCCGTGTGGACGCGCTGGTGCTGGATGAGGTGGGAGCGGCGGCTGAAGCTCTTGCCGCAGTCGGCACACATGTAGGGCTTCTCCCCGGTGTGTATCCGCTGGTGGCGGATCAGGTCGGAGCTGCGGCTGAAGCTCTGCCCGCACTCGATGCAGATGTAGGGCTTCTCTCCCATGAACGCTCGCTGGGGCACCACAGTCTCCTTGCGCTTCCGGAAGCCACAGCGAGAAGTCTTCTCCGGCCCCGTCTCTGGGGAGAGGCCTGGCCTGGGACGGGACACTTCTTGGCAGCAGCCCGGAGGAGAAGATTCCCTCATGGAAAAGTCCGAA